GAACCTGTTCAGCCTTCACAAGAGAAGGCTGAGGGGGGACCTGGTGACTGTCTATAAACTCACTAAGGGGGCCAGAAGGGTTTGGGGGAGACGCTGTTTCCCCGAGCGGCCCCTGGCATAACAAGGAACAATGGACACAAATTATTGGAGAGGAGGTTTAGATTAGACATCCGCAAGAACTACTTCATGGTCAGGGCGGCTAGGAGCTGGAACCAACTTCCAAGGGCAGTGGTGGTGGCTCCTACCCTGGGGTCTTCAAGAAGAGGCTTGATGCCTACCTAGCTGAACTCATTTGAGTCCAGTCTTTTTCTCCCGCCCAGGCGGTGGGTCGGGCTTGAAGATCTACAAGGTCCCTTCGACCCCACTTCTGTGATTCTATGATCCTGTGAGGTCACACGTCATCCTCCATCGCAAGACGGGGACAGGGATAGATGCTCAGACCTTCATGCTCCTCTCAGTGCTCAGATCCAACCCTGGCATTGCTGGGGGGGTGCACAGAGAGCCAGGGAGAATAAAGCTTTTGTGAACTAATTGCAGCCGAGGGCAGACACTCCTGTTGTCACCTTTCAGCATCACCCCGCTCCCTTCTTTCCTCCTTTCTCCCCTCCTTCCTCAAGCTTCAGGACTCTTCTCTTCCTTTTGCAGCCCCTCTCCTGCATCTCCCACAGGCTTCACGCTCTCCTGCGTCCCATTGCAGTGTCACCAGGGCACTGTAGAGTTCCTGGTGCCGCGGGAGGAAGGGGGAGCTGGCAGTAGGGTCCCAGCGTGCCGTCATTTCTGGCTATCTGTAAGCTCAGGCCTACATTCAGGTTGTACTCGTTTTGCATCTGGAAGGTTTTCTCCACCCCCCGGGCCCACAGACATCTTTGTAATGTGGGATTTGGGATCCTGAAGCATGTCCCTGGAGTGCACTTGGCAGAGGCATTGTTTAAAGGACTGTAACTCTCTGACACGTGCTGTCAGGGACAAGAGGTCTCCTTCAGCAGAAGAAGCACGTCCCACGGTGGTCACAACTGAAGCCCCCAGATCTGATCCCTGCAGGCGAGCAATGAAGTCTGTGGCCCTGTCCAGGTTTCTGCCACTGGGTCCTGTGGGCTGGGTTAAGGATTGTGGATGCACACACTGAACCGCAAGATGACTTGCCGCTGGCTAGCTTCCTTCTGGTCTGGGCTGCCTTGCTTGCAAGGACCTGGGACTTCTCTGCACTCAGGAAAATTCATCCAAATTACACAGGTTGGTTAGCGAGCATTGCAGCCCATGTAGACACATTCAGCATAGCCTTAATTCCATTTAGTTTAATTGACGTCGCAAGAGAATTAAGAAAAAATCAAATTAAGGCCCCTCTAAACCTGAATGAGGCTGTTCACACAGAGGTTTAATGTAATTTAACTGATCCACTTTAAATTCCAGCCTTGATTTACTTTGGATTTGTTTTCCTGGCTGTGCCCTGGCAGAGAAGCCCTCAGAGGCGGGATGCAGTTTCTCTCGGCAGTTGTGGGAGGAAGGCCCTTCCCTGCCTCGTGGCAAGCTCTGGTCAGGAATCCACCCCGCAGATCCACTAGCACCACACATCCCCTTGCACCCTCGGGGTCTCTCTCCAGCAGCAGCGGTATCAGGAAACTACCCCTGCCCCTAGACACGTCCCTCTGGGTCATTCACCCGCTGCATCTCGTCCCTCATCCCTGCAACGTGGCAGCTCGAGCCAGGCGCAGCTCCGATCCGCGCCCTGCGCAAGCAGGCGCTCTCGCTCCGGTGCCCAGCAGTGAGATCATCCCCAGCTGTCAGACCAGATTGGGGTCAGCACAGTGACATCCACGTTTGCGGCCGCGGCGGCAGGCTGGGTCTGCGTGGCTCTCGGCCAGTGGAAGTGGCGTGTCAGCAAAAGGAGGGGCCGGGGCCGCCCTGGGCTGTGGTTTCGGTCCCGTGCAGGAATTCCTGTGCTGACACTTCGCTTTCTCTTGCTCGGCTGTGGTGTGTGGCTGGACGCAGCCGCCATCGAGTGTCTCATCTCCTGGGGCAAGTAGACCGCATCGGGTCCTGCGTGTAGTGGTCACTGGGTCAAATACCACCAGGCCTGGGCGCCGAGGGGGTGCTCCCGGGTCCTGGCGCTAGGCAGGGCGGGCGGTTAGAGACGCTTTGGGTCCAGCCCCTCTGATACCCCTGAAGTGCAGTCTGGATGAGGCCGTTCTGATCTCATGGGATAACTTCTGCACAGACCAGGCCAGCGAATCCCACCTCTAGACCCATAACCAGAACAGGAGCGAGGAAGGTGGTTGAACCAAAGAGACCAGGTTGGCATTGCCTGCTCTTCGTGTATACCACATCCCTAAAGCTACGACCATGTGTTCTTGTCGGTGCTTTGTTCCTTCCCTCCTCCTCCCCTATGCTCACAGCACCTGGTAGCATCTGACTGTGGCATTTGCAGCATCTGTAGTGTCTCACATGGGGCAGGTACCTAATTATAATCAGTATTAACACCGAGCCCTGCCCAAAGCCCTAGAGTTTTGTCTAAGGCACTTGCCTTGCAGCTACCAAGGTACCAAGGGTGCAAAAACATTGTCCCGGGTCTGCTGAAAGGAGCCAGGTTTCTTCATCTGTCCCCTCAAGAGTATTTTGACTCCTCTTTGAAGGGTTATGCTTGGTTGGGAAAGTGTCTGCCTGGTAGACAAGGCTGTGTGAGTGCCTCTCCTGGAAGCAGCGCTCCGGTGAATTCAGAGGAGCTATTTCACCGGGACTCGGGTGACCCGCGCTGAACTTGCTCAGATGTTTTCTGAGCTGCTGTCTGCATCTCGGAGCTCGGGAGCTTCCTAGCAACCAGCTATTAATTACAGACGGAGGGGCTTCAAGTGCAAACCTCACACTGGAGGCCAGGGAGAGCTTTATGGCTTGTATTGTTCTGATTTCCTGCTCCTTTCATGGCTCTTTGGGCTTGATGGTGCTTCACGCTTGTAATCCCACGGGAGGAGTCATTGTTCAGAACTGCTTGGCTTTCGAGAGCACTCGGGTGCTGTAGAGCCATTTCTCAGCGCTGTGTAACTTGCTGAGATTGCATCGTCTCCCAGGGTTTGCTGGCTGGTTGCTGCAGTAAAAGACCGTCTGCCTGACTTCTTTAATCCCAAACCCCACGGCCCCTGGGCCTCTGGCAGGAATGACAGCCCCAGCAGCTGTTGGTTCGCTCTGTGGGCCAGGACCCATCTCTCGCTCTGTTTGCACAGCACCTTGCACGGCGGGGCCCTGGTTGGTTCCAGGGGCCTGGGGGGACTGAGGCATTCAAGGGTCAGGGAGGATCTAGTCAGGGAACTTCTGGAGGGACTGGATGTATTCAAATCAGCTGGTCTGCATGATCTCCACCCCCGAGTGCT